GACAGTATTTGACCAACGAAAAATTTGATTTGCTTCAAATCGGCAAATTTTACCACAATAAAATCGTTAGGTTTAGGAAGTTTAAAGCTGGACAGTGGAAGTTCCATATCGTCATCACTAGATTCGCACGAAGTTATATTATCATCTGGATCGAACCTTTTCTCAGGACTAGAAAATAGTGTCTTCATTACTTTTTCAGTTTTCAGTCTTTTTACAGTCTTCGTTGTTTTTATTCTCTTTATTTTTTTTCGTAATCTTTGTTGTTTGTTGTCGCTTTCACGTGCACGTTCTTCTATTTCATTTTTTACAGGAGTGTCAGTTAATATCAAACTTTTTCCTTTCTTTCTGTTATTATTGTTCTTTCTAGGCCCTGCTCTGGGTAAGTCTCTGCATTCTAAGGGGCTTTTTATCTGATTTTCAAATTCTTGGATAGCAGTTCTTGAAGTAGAAGGTTGCTGGTCATCGATAGGAGGTGTAGTATCCCTTGGTTGCTGCGGTTGTTGCTCCTCATCAGTCAAAAGTCTATTTGTCACTTCGCTTGTCAGAAATTCGTCTTCAGCAAAGATATCTCGGTCGAATGGAAAAATTCCGGCCTTTTTAAATCCAGATTTGATATTGCATGGCGTCATCGATTTTTCAAATGCCTGTCTTACAAGCTCAGCCACATTGTAAATTGTTAAAGTCTGCCCTGGGTGCCGAACCATCCATGAATCTGCCGCAGCATTATAGTAGGTTTGAAATGGCCCAAACACGGATACGTCGAGAGCTTGAAGTTTGTGACTGGTATGTGGAGGTATAGTAAGAAGTATTACTCCATTGTCTTTGGCAATATTTAAAACCACCGGAGATAAATGACTCTCATGATTGTCCATGATTACAAGAGTTGGATTGTCTTTCGTAGATGAAGTCATTTTCACAAAATGCCTCATAACATCCGCAAACAATTCGCCGGTCATCCATCCAGTGGGTTGAGCAAGACCTAAAGTACCTGAGGGTGCTCCCGTTAACATATGAGTTTTAAAATTCTTTCGCGGGAACACCATTACTGGCGGCAAAGCAGTTCCAGTGGCGGAAACTATGCAACAAGTAGTCACTAATGTTCCTCGCTCTGCGCTGGTGACTTTATTTAGCTGCCTAGATGATTTTGAAGCAAAAACTCTTTTTGGTTTTTGAACTGTTGTTGTTCCAGTTTCATCTAAAATAAACACTCGGGTACCATCCCCAAAACTTGGATACCTCTGTAGAATAGAATAGAGGTTATCAAAAAATACGTTGACATTGTGCCTATTAAAGGAAGTAGCCCTGGACAAGCTGCAAGCTTCAGGTTTACGAAGTCTTATCTCGGGGTGACGTTGTCTAAAGCCATAAAGCCAGTCAATACCAGCCATTTGCCGTTCATTCCAAGCTTGCGGCATTTTAAGATTGTGATGCTTCGCCATTTCATAAGCTAAACGTCTTGTTTCTAAAGTATCGAGACCGTAGCACATTTTGGAACAAATCACCAAATATTCTTCCAATGATTTTTCAAGGTCAGTTGAAAATACTTTATTTACTGCATAGTTAGGTGTCATACGAATTTCTGCTTCATCTGCTGTAGATTTTTTCTTTTGTACATATCGATGCAACGTAGTACATTTGACATTTTTTATTTCAGCAGCAGTGCGCAAGCTCATACCACCTTCTACGAGTTCTACAGCTTCTCGTATGTTAGCTTCGCTGTGAAGTCCCCTGTCACTTTTTCTGACGCGATTCCTCACCATTCTGGACTTGTGTAAAATCTGCCAAAAAATAAAGTTAAGTTACTGGGGTTCAATGGAACAGTGTTCCACTGTGCCCCGTTCCATAGTGCCCCATAGCGTGTACAAAATTTCAAACAAGTCTTCAAAAAAGTTAGGTTATGTTTTGAACTTAGCACATAGCGGTCTCGAATAGACAAAATGATTAAGATTTATGAAAAAAATATATCACTTACCTATTGTTTAAACTTTTTTACTAAAAACGAAATTACTTTGAAAAGAAATCTCAACTTTTGAACATAAAAAACAATATTTTTCTATTCACAGCTCCGTTGTTGTTGCCGCCATATTTCACTACGTCGTCGTATGGCGCAGGACGCGCTGCGATTGGTCGAAGCAGTATCGCGCGAATTAGATTGAAATTCAAATTTTTATCGACATTGTTCCATAGTGCCCCGTGTTCCACTGTTCCCCAACTGTCCCTACTTGAAATTTTTTTATTTAAAATCGAATGCCAATTTTCAATCATATTAGTTGTTCGATGCAAATGATTACTACACCATTTGTCTGCAAAGAATGACTTATCATTCAACCACGTTTGCACAAAGTAATCGTTAAATAGCACGACATTTTTGTTTGTAGGACATTGTGCCATTATATGTATATAGCCAAGCATTGTCTATAGCCTCTCTAGGCAAATGAGCCATAACAGTGCATCGTTTAACATGTTTTCTGGCTAATTTTGATTTTGTGATATTTAACTCATCGGCTTTTCGCCACAAGCTTTGCGCAAAATGAAAATAGCAGCCATTGATTTTAGTCTTAGCGAAAACATGTTTAATAGCAGACATAGCTGCTTGTTCAAAGTCAAGTATAAATAATTGGGGTGAAAATTGGGGAATTTGACTTTTTATTAATTGAAACATAGTTATGTACGTATTTTTGTTTTTGTTCGGCAGTAAGGCATAAATAATTAGTATAATATTATTGTATGTGTCATTACTACCTAAATCTACATGTAAACTATATAATTGATTAAATGGTTTTAAACAAAATTTGAACGTCCCATCACATAAAATTGTTAAATTTGGATTAGTTAATATTTTTTTACAATCTCGATTAGCGAAAATTATAATTCTACTGGGTCCATTACTGTAATCAGCTAATAAAAAATGTTGATATCTTTCGGGCACAATTATTTCTTTGATAGAATTAAAACATATTTTTTGTACACCAAGTGATTTATTTCTTTTACGATGGAGCTTATGCTTAATATTTTCCAATGTAGGTATTTTTTTAATGAAATCAATGCCACTATCCACGAGTCCCGCAACAGTTTCCCGGTAAGCTCTTGGAATTGTAATAGTATAATCAGACTTGATTTGTTCACAGCACTTGTTAAATTGTATTTCTAATTCGTTTGAAGCAAAATCCGGCTCGCAGTCATGTTTGTCATCCCGTGTAATGGTATTATTATTGGCAATAATTAATTTAGCTTCACATTTTTTTCTTTTAGTGCATTTCCAAACACAGGAACCATCTTTATTTCGCCTTTTCTCATGGTATCTATGGCCTGCACGAAGAAGCACTCGTTTGCCTCGTTGCGATGTTACTATTTGCCACTGGATACAATTTTGTGAATTTAATGGCCCTGGTTCATCTGTAAATATTTTCATGGCGTCTATATATATATATATATATATATTTATATATCATATAATCGCATCAGCGGCGGCAGCCTAATTACACATTACGCTACTAATATGAACCCATTTCTAATAAAAGCCTTTGAGTTTTGCTGGATGATAAAAATAATTCTAGTAATTTGAAATCTAAATTGCTAGTAATCTTAAAATATGTGCATACTATAGCGCATACTATGTGCAACAAAACTTTTATATTAAAAGTAATGTTAAGCAAAGCAGAAGTATATTCTTCATCAAAAAGGTCGTATTGTAGAGTATTGCACAAATCAAAAATATGTTATCGCAATTATTGTATAAATCTAGTTATCCAAAAAAAAGAAACAGTAAATTTAGAGTAATCAATTAAGCGCTATAAATAAAGCATATATTTTTACATAAGCACAAATAATGTAAAATATACTTCGCTAGTAAAACTGTAAAATTACTAAAATTATAACCGTAAAACATTCTTTGTAATTCTTAAAAATGTAATGACAATGTAATAACGATGCCACAAAATGGCGGCCGCCAATAAGAGCAGATATAGCTTCTTATTGAAATTTCTTTAACGTAATGAATGAAGTTTGTGATATTATTTTATGCTAAGAATATGTAATTATATAAATCTTACCTCCACTATGTTCCATTATTTACACTCTCCACGCTGAATAGCATCAATGATATATAAAATTATCAAAAACACATTCACGCCACAGGAACATGAACCAGACTGCCTGCAAAGGGCAGCGCAGGCGCGCGCGTCCCATGATACAATAGTAGAAAGAGACAAATGTATCGGGACCTTGTTGCCGTCTTACTTCTTTCATTGTAATCTGAGTCTTGTAGTAGCTTTGTTTATTTTCAAAGAAAGCGCACTCTACTTTCGTAACGGCTGTAGATACTGTATTTAAGTAAAAACAAAATGGTACCTACAAGGTAAATATTTATTCTATTTGAAATTACTGAAACAATCTGTATCTGACTACTGTATACTTTCGGCCCACTTAACCACAGCAAATTAAATAATAAAATCACGTCCGTAAAATCAAAGCGCGTTCGGCCCATTTGGCCACAAAAATAGTAGGCATAATTAATTATGTACAACTGGTCCACGTGGCCCAGTTTATTGCCGCCCAGTTGATCACTGAGTCCGGCGGCCGAGATGATGTGCTCAGGGCTGACTGGCCACATTCCACAATCCTGAAACAAAAAGTTTTGTAGTTGGTACCCATCTCTTTAGAGATAAAAAAAAGGAATCTATAATCTATTTTTCCGGACACCATACATCTGAAAATATCGCCACAGAAATCAGGACACTGGTAGAGAAATTTAGATTGACGGAAAAAGTAAACTTTATGGTTACTGATAATGCCTCAAACATAGTCAGAGCCGTAAAAGACATTTTAAACTGGAAGAATTTTGGGTGTTACGCACACACACTGAATTTAATTGTTGATAATGCTCTAAAACTTTTCGAAGATGATATCGCCAAAGTAAAAAGGATTGTGGCACATGTTAAGGAAATTAACCAAAACGTCTTAGCCAAGCCGTAGATACAAGATGGAATTCAACATATTATATGCTAAAAAGATTTGTTGAGCTTGAAAATGCTATTCGTGCTACCTTAGTTTTCACTGATAGTCGTTTACCCATAATCACTACCGAAGATTGGACTTTATACTCACAATTGTGTCAAATATTAAGACCATTTGAAGAGATCACCAAATCTATGAGCGGGGAGAAATATGTATCTGGAAGTTCCGTAATCGTTGTCACACGATGCCTTAAAGAAGCATGTGAAAAAATTACAAGCAGAACGGATTTGCTATCTGCCGTTACAGACGTTGCCTTGACATTAAGGTCCGGATTAATAGACCGTTTCGGAATAATTGAACAAAGTGGCACCTTTTCATTGTGCACTTTTATGGACCCCCGCTTCAAAACACAAGGTTTTTGTGATCAAAATGAAGCAAATAAAACAAAAGTAAGAGTTAGGAAAATGGTTGCTGCATTGATCGCAAAAACAACAAACACCACACCATCTTCAGTTTTGACAGTAACTGACGACTTAAACAAAAGTAATGACGATTTAAACCCGTGGAATATTTTCGACCAAATGATTGCGAGTACTACAACACAGGGAACGCCACTGTCAAAGGCAATAAAGGAGGTAGATATGTACCTAGCGGACGAACTTTTACCTCGGAAAGACCAACAAGGAAATTTAAACAGCCCTCTCGAATGGTGGAAAAATCGCCAATTTGTTTATCCTCACCTAAAACAAATATTTGTTACCCACTGTAACATAGTGGCTACATCTGTTCCTTGTGAACGGATTTTCTCCAAAACTGGTCTTATTATAAATCAAAGACGAACAAGGCTGACTACAAGCAAAGTGGAACAAATCATGTTCCTGAACATAAATTCGCCTGAAGACCGGTTCAAGGGCTATGAATAAAATGTAAAATAAAAAAACAATCCGAATGTACATAAAATTATCAAAAACAACATAAAAATTAAAAAAAAAAGTATAAAGAGCCAAAATAATGTAAATAAAAATTGTAAATAATAATTGATTTATGTACATATAAATCAGATGATCTTCTAAATACGCCTGAAATTTGTGTTTGTGTGTTTATAGCAAATTAATCAGTCAGTCCTAAGCCTGAAAAAAGTATGAAGGGAAGATCATCTAGGACCCTAGGTAGGTAGTAGGTAAAGTCATCATAAAATGTTATAAAATGTCATTAGGTAAACTGCATCAAATTGTTCGTAAATTAATATTACAACAGCAATTCAGCATATGAGCATACGATAACAAAAGCGTTTAGGCGTTTAACGTTCATACAAGTTATAAATAATAATAAAATAAAACTTTATTCATAATAACAAAAATGCAAAATTCGAAAATATATCTAAATTACGTACAATTGACCTCAAATAGTTAGATGCCTGCACTAGGACAATCCTGTATCGCAGGCGAGAGGAGGTCTAAATATAATTTTTACAATAGCACATCTTATTTCTATAAACACAAATATTTATCAGTATGCAATAGAAAAAATATATATAATGATTATTTTAATATACATACATTCAAACATACTTAGTACATACAAAACATAACCTCATACCCTATATTCTCAGAAAAGATAGGCTGAGGTCTATAACTAATCGTAATATAATATTATAATGTATCTAATAAATATACATACGTAAACAATATAATTATAAATCAGTTCGAAAATAAAACTATCACTATTGCCGAGGAATTAACATGCATCAGCAGAAACATATACTAGGCTAAAGTCCATACGGTCATTCACTTGGTTCTTAATTTCACAATAATAATTGTGCTTATTCAGCAACAGGGCGATGAATAATCATATGTTTGATATATAGGTAGTGTTGTGCAAGGAAATACTTCGGAAGTGTCATCAATTCGGTAATG